CAAATATACAGGATGACGAAAGACTACGTGCGCCATAAAACACGTTCTAACTTTATTTTTTGCGCACATAATTTTTAAATGGATTAATTTAATAAAACATCAAAGCTTGGCATTTCATAACTGCAAAAAAGATTTGGAGTAGCTGTTAAGTTTTGATATTGTCTTACTTTGTTTCTTCAGCGAATCGATAGTACGGCGGAGATGTTCTATTCATATTTCATGCCAAATTTTAGGCAGTTCTTTTCAGAATCATATTGCACCACGATTCTTCAGTAGTTTTCAATAAACTCCCAACGAGAGAAGTTTATTGATTGTAAACTCGGGTTGTAAGCAGATTACGAATCCGTCACCTTAAACAACCGATACTGGTTTCGAAGAAGTGGACTGATGCATTGGTCCATGGGACCGAGCGCATTCCTTTAGAAAGAAGAATTATTATGATTCTACTTCCAAGGGGCAACAGCTCTCTCAAGGATTCCTCCTTGGTAGTCCTCGCCATTGATTTGCGCTCTTTTATCCATAAAAACCTGTTGAGGCCCCCCTAAAGCACTGATCCAGTCTCAAATCATCAAATTTCCAGGGAATAAGATTTTTGTGGGTACTTTTCATGGAAGGATGTCATTAAGAGCTCTTAAAAAAAGGTCAAAGGTGATTCTGAGAGTTTAAGGCACATTAAGGGTAACTTTCAATGTGAAACCACGGAGCAACCTAGGATGCCGCACTCCGAGAACATCCCGCACCATCTTCTATTTTTTTCCTTCCGATCTTGCTTTTTCGAACAGTGGGGAACTGCCCGTTTGACATAACAACGACAATTTAGTGCTTCATTTTCGGTCTCATCTGAACCAACTTTCTGAAAGTTTGGTTGTGTCCGGCACCTTTATTCAGGCCTAGGTCGTCTTTTTGATAATTTCACTTCTTCAAAATTCTCCTCTTACATCGAGTATTGGCAGCCTGTTCTCATTGTTTTGCGGGTTCGCTTTAGAGATGGTCCTCCTTTTTTCAGTGCTCTTCATTTTTTGAACGGTTTGCAGAGAAACTGGCGTATCTAGGAAATGATTTAGCTCCCAGTTCAGCTGTATGCGTCCGCGCAATCGCATTCTAAGTTGATCAGGTCTCTGCCAGATTGGAAAACAAATTTCTTCTCTTGCAAATCAATAACTAGCAGTAGACAAACAGTTTGAAAAGTTGAAGCACCCATAAATCCCCCATGCAATGTTCGTAACGAAGCGAAATGTCGCGTGCACTTAATTTTTTGCCACCCTGTACAATTGCTAGCATAGAGGTGTTCTTAATCCCTTTGTTAAACCGCGATGTTGAGCTAATAATTTCCTGTTGAATTGGAAAATATTGCACTCCAGAGTCGCAGCCTTAACTAAATCTCTTAATTCATCCTCGCCGAGTCCAAAGTCCATGTAGATTTCCTCTTTGTGCCTTTCCCACGAAGGCCAACAATGTTTCAACTGCATCCCGTGCGTAGACGTAGGTATAGAGCGAGACGGCATCAAAGCCCGCATAGTGTGCATTTGTTCGAATTTGACGTTGACTGAGGGACGCTATGAAATCCCCAGTATTTGTCGAATGTGACGATATCTTGTGCAAAAGTGAAGAAAAGATTTTCACCAACAGCCAACTTATTCTATCAGATGGTCCTCCACAGCTTGAAATTATGGGACTGGTTTTGATGTCCCTATAAGTGAGACTGTCCAATGTGATGTCTGCAGTTTTGTGGGTTTTAACCAGTGAGTAATAGGTAGGGATACATGGAGAAGACGAAATGAATCGTCTTACTGCACTACTGCTATATAGTCAGTCACAAAAATGCAAAAGGAAAAGCACGCAGGAGATCCGAACCACTGGCCCCAACAGTCAGTCCAACCTTTAACCCTTTGCCAGGGGGCATATGTGTACCACCTCCGTAGTCAAATGCACTACCACAGTTCCGGGACCAGTTAAGACCGGAGTGCCCGCTTGATGGTGAAATTGTGCACATATACACTGCGTCTCCTAATTATACAGCCACCTAGAAATTGTTTAAAATCCCGAATTCTGCAGTTTATGGAAAAATGTCCGACAGGAAAACTGTGCCAAATTTGTTCACGAATTCGAAAATCAGTTCTAAAGTTCAGGTTGAAAATCCGCAAAAATTCCATCCTAATTTTTCCAGAAAGCGTCGCTTTTCCATCGTCTCCGAATGATACCCCGTGTTTCCTCGTTGCACTTCATTTCTGATCGATGAAAGTGATTTTCAGTCCTCAATTGCTCCTTTTTAGATTATCAGGAAAGGAAAGCAACTATTGGACTTCGAAAAAGGGGAAATCGTCACAGAATAAGAAAAATTAAGCGCTAGGTGGTCACATCGCGCTAATATTTCGTCGAAACTACGGAATGATTAGCTATTTCTTTTCGAATCCTTCGGGAAATAAAACTTAGAAGGGCTTCGGACGTTATTCTTTGCTTTTTGATTAAGATAAATGAGACATTATGAGAACAGCACCAAATTTCACCAAGGCGTGTTCGGAAATTGAGTCTTCTTCAAAACTTAATCTCCTACTAGATAGTGCAGGGTATGCAACAACTTCCAAGATCGTTCTCCAGCTGAATATGAAAAGGACGGTGATTTTGGAAAGAAACCGTCGCGAAAACCGAGTCATTTTTGCACTGGGATTCCGACCAAGCCAACCGGAGCAGGATCCATTTTCGGCCTGTTGTGTTTTACTTCTTTTCTGCCACTCGTTTGACGCGTTTCGCTCCAGATGGTTCCGTCCTGGAGGAATGATTTTACTAGCTAGGAAAAACTCGAAGGCAAAGCAGATGGAACCCGCCTTGGTGAAATTTGGTGCTGTTCTCATAATGTCGCATTTATCTTAATTCAAAAGCAAAGAATCACGTCCGAAGCCCTTCTAAGTTCCATTTCCTACAGGATTCAAAAAGAAATTGCTAATCATTCCGTCGTTTCGACGGAATTCGCGCAATGTGACCACCTGGCGCTTAATTTTTCTTATTTTGTGACGATTTCCCTTTTCCGAAGTCCAAAGTTGCTTTCCTTTCCTGATAACCGAAGAAGGAACAACTGAGGACTGCCAATCAGTTTCATCGATCATAAATGAGATGCAACAAAGAAACACTGGGTGGCTGTATCATTTGGAGACGATGGAAAAGCGACCCTTTTTGGAAAAAGTAGGATAAAAATTTTTCGCATTTTCAAACTGGAATTTTGTGTTGAATTTCGAATTTGCGACCAAATTTGACACAGTTTTACTCTTAGACATTTTTCTAGAAACTTTGTGGAATTTTGAGATTTGCAATAATTTCTAGGTGGCTGTATAATTAGGAGACGCAGTGCAGATGTGCTACATTTTTTACTATAGTAATCGTTAACAAATCGTCACAAGCCAAAGCGAGTTGGATAAATTAATACTGCACCGCACGTCAATGGGCCGTGCCCAGAAAGATAATTTTAAGGCTCACACTATTATTACTAATTGCGCTATGATTTTGATGCCTCTTACATTTGTATAAGGCGCAGCACAGGCCAACGAACACTGAATGATGGAGCTTTCCATCAGCCGAACCTTCCACGACGGTGTTGAAGATGTCACCCTCCAAGATTCCGAGTGATCCGATTATGCAGAAATGGAACTAGAAGGCTCCTTCACTTCCTTCACGATTTGGGGCGCGGCCGCGACGAGCCCGGACGAGTCCACAGTGTTCGCGAACTGTGGTGGTGGAGCGTTTTCAAATTTACCCGCACATTTCGCGGGCACTATCGACTTTTCTGCGTTCGTCGCGGTCGCGCCCCAAATCGTGAAGAAAGTAGTTGAGCCAAATTAGAAGACTACTATGACGACAAAGATTCTGAAGCAACAGAAGCCGACGAAAACGATAGAGGAGAAGAACCCGATCGGATCGCAGCGCTTCTACAGAGTGCAGCTTGCATTTCTACCAAGTGTTTCTAACTTTCTTCTATTGAACAGGACACAAGGCTGGTAGAAAAGCTTTATCGGCTGACGTTTAAGGGTTCGCCTTTGTCAGGGCCTGCAAAAGCCTAACAGTCTATGACAACCTAACCAAACGTCGCCGCCACCCTATGGAAGTTCAAAATAAACCAAAACATCACTAGCCCCAAGAAGGAACACTTACCGCAGTTCGATCCGAACTTCTAAACCAGCCGCAAAGCACAGCACCAGCTGCAATCCGGACTCTTTCCAAATGAGAGTCACTACTGGAAGGCTAATTTTATGTAAGGTCCTAACTCCCTCGTTATCATGAGGCCTTCTTCCCTCTTATTCATTTTAAGACTGCTGGCTTGAATCCAAAATGCCTCAAGGGTTTTCCGTGCAGATGTTTATGTCTACCAAAATGTCTACCAGTGTGTTCGCTATCGGACATTGGGTTTGTTCCACGAATGAGATATGGAAATGGTGTATGTATTCGTAATTGTTATTAAGTTGACAATTCACCTTCCAAAAATACTCATTCGAGCAGAGATTGTGTAGTGATTAGAGGGGTTTCTGCCGCGCACGTAGTCCCTGTATCAAAATCCCAGGTCAGATCCAGCGTTCTTCAACCAAACTTCCATAGGTGATTAGTTGTTGCAAGGAGCGATAGTCACAACATAACACTCATCGGTAAATCGATTTTAAAAATATTCAGTCTGAGGATTAAACTCAAAAAGAATCAAGGAACACAACCAACAGTGGTCCTGTCTGCCCCTCACTACAAACCACTATTGGATGACATATCAACTTCCGCGTTATCGAATCACCAAAACGCCAGCTGATAGCTTCCGCCGAAGTGGAATTCTATAGCGACACCAATGAAGCTCGATGAAAAACCTACATAGCAGCTTGTAGTGGGTTACTTATATTTTTGTTGGTCATTGATTCATATCAACTAAAAAAATATACGGTTCGGACTCTCTGCTATAAGCTCCGAAGCATGACATTGGATTTTAAAAAAACCGCGGTAAAAGCAATAAAGGAGCAGAAGTAATAACATAAGCCTGGCGTATTCTTCGTGGACGTACTTGAAATCTCATACTCGCTGTAAAGGATACCGCTCTGGTTGTTTATATACATTCGACACACTTGAAAGTAGCCAACATTGTAGTGAAATGTGCCTTCCTAGAAAGAGTTCTTCGAATCAATCATTTTTTAATCCAATTCAATCAAGTCAAATAATTCAAATCCTATGCGCACGGTTCGTGCATCAAATTTTGGAGGGTAATCCGTTTAGCCCATTGTGTAGACCGAGTCGTATACAAATACGATTCGGTCTACACATTCGGGTAAGCAACTACGATTTTAAGTGGAAGTAGAATACGTAGCAGATCCTAAAAGGAAATCCCGAGAGCTTCATACTTGTTCGGCCAATGTCATAGTTTGCGAATCGAGCGATTCGCTAGCGAATCAAATTTGCGCCAGCGAGTCGAACTATGTACCAGCGATTTAATGGTGGCGGACTCAACGTTTAAAGGAAGCCCGCCACTTTCAAACAATGTCCACAATCAAGTCCCGCCACTTGACAGTGTTTGAAAGTGCGAGCTTCCTTTGAAAATTGGGTCCCGTCGCAAATGAGTCGCTGGTACATAGTTCGACTCGCTGGTGCAACGTTCGATTCGCTAGCGAACCGCTCGATTCGCAAACTATGACGTCGGCTTTCTTGTCACTACTGATACCTCACTTTGTCACATGATTTGTTCAGGCGCAGGGCCATAGCACATGCACGGCGCTACCTGCGCTATTTTGTCTTCCCAGATAAACTGGAATATAACCGATAAGATAGTCGTAAAACACTCACAATTTGTTCTCCGTTTTCGTTGGTTTTGTTGATCGGACGCGGCTCAGTTAGAAAAACCCAATTGTTCATGAAAATTGGGAACGATTGAAGTACGAGAACGACGGTTCCAAACGCTGCTGCACCGGCGAACAATGTATTATCCGTGCATTTCGCTTCGATGATGTACTAAAAACAAATAATAAGCATGCATTCATAAACGCTTGGAATCTTCGTCAAGGCAATGTTTCGCCTCACTCGCCGCATTTCGCGTCTCTTTCTTTCCTACCTACTTACCTTGTTACCTTGTTCTGAATCTATTTTGAGAATATTTAGAAAACAAGGAGGTGCCTGGCGCCTACAAATTAGCGATATGAAAATAGAGCAGAATGACGAAAATCATAATGTCAAATGTCAAATACAGTAGCGGTCAAAAGTTTGGAAACTTTTCTATTTTTGATCCATCGCCGCCGACTCATAACGAAATTGTCTCAAATTCAGACAATACATGAAAAATAAAGTCCAGAATACGATGGGAAGGATGATTTCCAAAAATCCGTAATCATGTTTGAAAAATAAGATTTTTTTCAAATAATGGCGCGTCAAAAGTTTGGAAACCTTTTGTTTCCCTCATCACTATGATTCTTACTCTTCAATGTTAACTTGTTTCTGTTGATTTTAGTTCAGCCATTTAGTGGTGTGCAATTACAAAATGAAATCATTCCCAAACGAAGCAGTTTTCCCATGGGAGGTCCTTTTTAAACCCTACAATCAGGAATACGAAATTGAAATTGTTTCTTAATAGTTCAGTCCCTGCGGAAGCGATATTATCGAATGTCTTTAACGTTTTTGGAGTCGAGTAAGCCTAAGAAGAGTGATCGTCCACAAAAAGATACCCTCACAAGAAAATTGACCTTCCTCAAATACTGCGAAGGGTAGTTGGCACGACACGTACCCAGCGAAGGGACGACTTTTTCTGGTTTTCTCCTAATCATGTGAAAGCCCAAGTGCAGCCCAACATCGGCCGCGACATGGTGAATATTACGGATGATATCCCAACAAGAAGTCATTGTTCGGCTTCAAGAGTGGGATGACCCAACTGGCCCTCGCACATTAACGACTAACGTGGTCGATGGCGAGAAGTAAAACTTTGTCCTCACGACGAGTGGAATTTCTGTCTTCCTGAAAATAATGTTATGGACCCTGTGAAGTGTTCTATCAACAGGAAGCCTGATTCTAGCTATCAGTGTTTAACAGTCAGAAATAGTGGAAGTCCTGTCATGGATGAGCATGTGTCCGACCATTCGGCGTTTCCCCTGTCCCATGTATCCAGCAAAATGTGGGTTGGGCTAAATAAGGAGTAGTCTATAGAATACAACGCTTTCCTTCGATAGTCAGAACTGTCCTTAAAAGATTGTTTTTTATGACCCAATGCAGGACTGCCTCCTCAGTGCCGCCTCCCTAAACCTAGAAAAAGGACCTGCTATGAAGGATTACGTGACTATTTGTACTCTCCCCTGTGTTCTCTGCCGCGAAAGGCTATAGCGCAGACGATTAGAGAACGGAGCCTGGCTCGGCTTCAAATCTCAAACAGGGAGGTGAGAACTATAGGACTTAGCCTTGGAGGAAGGATAGACTCCGGATTGGATAAGCCAATTACTTCTTGGCAATGTTTGATTGTATCAGATCACAGTAATCATAAGCCGCTGTTAAAGCGAGAGAGCGCAGGCGAGAGCATCAAGTCACGGCGGTTTAAAGAACTGAGTTCAAGTTGTCCATAGACCGCTATGAAGCAACCAAGTCAAGATCTGAAGTCCGTTTGAGTTCTACCTCCCGCGGAAGAACTGGCATGTCGCTCAACCCACATTCCATTTAAGAATCCCACCAAAGAATGCGATCTGGTTTACAGTGTGCAGTGTTCGACTTATAAGTCCCGAAATTATTTTATGGTCAACTCCATGTCAGTGAAAACGACACCGACAAATAAATTCAAAGCTACTCATCGAATTACTACTTTGTCATGTAGATTCGGAAGCTATTTTGCCGAATTCGCTCTGGAATTGAGAAGTTTCCAAACTTTTGACCGCTACTGTAGATTGTCACGCGGAAGTTGTTGAGTCTTCGCATATTTCAAAACTTTACTTATTAAACGTAAGCCTTCTCGTTTAGGCGGAAAACTCCTTGCCCAAGCTTGAAAATCTTCAATTTCCAGTTCCAAGCAGGGTCAAGCGTGTGTTAAGAAATCCAAGACAAGCCGACAGGGGAGGGGTCTATTTGGCCCGCTGGGAGGAAGTAGTCGGGCCGCATCGATGCAGCCGGATCATCACTGTTGGAGGACATAAACCAAGGAGTGATCGGTGCTGATGCTGGCTAGAGGATTTCCAAACAGATGTTATGCCCACACAAAATTTTGGTTGTTCAGAGGGGTCCGCGCAGTAATTCTAAGCTAACTCAGTTATTTATTACGACAAGGTTAAAGAAACCAAAATTCGCGCAACCTCCGACGAATATTTTACTCTTCGAAGAGTATCAATGCGAAAGGATGCGAAGTGCACGACGCATACCAGAGTGGGCACAGTCAGTTTCGCGCGCTTCAACTATTGCTCTGTTATGAATAAGCTTGATTTAAAAAAACAAGAGCATCTGAGAGGGCCGTGTTAAGCGACAGCGACGAAACCACCATTCAAGAAGAAATGCAGTTTCCAGCGTCGAATTCAAATATTATATAAATAACAATCGTCAATGTTGGAAATTGCTAAACGCTTCGCAGTTGTGAACAAAAAAGCTTGCTGGTTTCGAGTCTTTTTTCTTTTGTGTGAATTCGTCCATGAAAAGAGCTATAGTCGTTGAAAGATTGTAATGCATCGAAGGAGAACCACTTGGCGGTACTGGGGCAAAGATCCTCAACACAGCCGTTTTTGAAATGCTGAACATATCAAATTATTTTAGCAAATGTTGCATAGACCAAATCTTCTAGTTTACAATGCTATATTAATCTCCCAGAATGACGAATTTGAAGGAAGTTATGGCTTCGAAATGGCAAAAACTCGCACTCATCAAAACAATTTCTCGGTAATCAATCTAGATTGGTAATTTCTCACTGGTTTCAAAACTGTACCATTGCTCAGAAAGAGCTCGGCAAAAAACTCACAAATCTGCTCTCAAATTGTAAAATCGTCCACTTTGTAGAAAGCTAGTCAATATAGTATAGTATAATAGCTAAATAGGTGTTAAAAATATTCAACAGTGATAAGCCGCTCCAAGGTCAGCTCTCAAGATCAACACACATTTTCCTAAGGCTTGCACAAGGCTTCTCTCAACCAAAAGGTGAACGTGAAGATTGAGAAACATATCATAGTGTGCTGTGTTTCATGACTAGGTCGTTGTTTCTTGCTCCTTAGTTGGTAGGATTCATCATTGATTGTTTTTCCTTGACTATTTCTACTTGTTCTACTCTTGAAATGGAAGGTGGAGTGGCAGAGTTTTTTGTTTAATAGGAGTCTGTTGGGGAAGGTTTAACGACCTTTTCGGCTCCTCCTTTTTTTGGGTAGTGGGAGGAGTTGTTTCATGGATAGGGATGAGGAAGGGGGAAGAGGGGGGATAATGGTGCATGGGCGGTCGTATTTCGAAATTCTCCTCGACCTAGCTTAACCCTGGTTCCAATTTCGGAAAATAGGCTCGAGTCCCTTTTACTGAAACTGCAACTGAATAGACATTTATTGGGTTGATGTATAATTATTGCGGCTTTTTCCAACAGATTTAATTCAGCGAAAACGACAAAATTATTCAACAAAAGCATGTTTAAATAATAACCCCGGAGCGTGGTCACCATCCCACAAAAATGCTTCCCATTTGCTTTTGTATCGGTGATTCCACGGATAAAAAAGTCACGATTTTCAGAGAGGATCCACGCTCTAACACTGGCCACCAACCATCCAGCTCATCCTAAAATTTGTTCGCTTGCCAGCTTCTCAGCGTCTGATTGGAATTGCTAAAGTTGTAGGAGCTCCTCTCGGTAGACGTGGCGTTTTAAACTTTTCGAACGATCCTTCGTCGAGGATTTTGCTAATTGCTCCCTCGCAGAGAAGTTTGATGAGGTCGCGAAATGGCCCCGCCGCTTTCTAACATTTATATGTAGAAGTAGTAAGCATGTGTGGTGAAGATGAGGACAATTTCCGATAAGCATTTCTGTTAACGGAAGAAAGAAGAATATTCTCATGAAAAAAACAGAAACTCAAACGCCAAGCTTCTCGAGAAAAGAACACGCGAAAAAAGCCCCAATAATTATGCATCAAAATAATAGAAATTACATGTTCCCCCTGTTCAATCGATTATTTTTAGTTATTAGTTGGACCATGTTATCCCTAGATCTCTAATTTGATAAAACCTGTGACTGCTGAATTCCGAACAAATAAATAATTAAGTGAATGATTCTTATTGGCCACACAAGAATGAATAATCACAATAAGGAGAAGGAAGCTGCTCACTCAAAAGCATTGTGGTTCTGCAGGCAGCCGGGAACACTCTCTGCTAATAGTGTCAATATTGTGTTTCAGCAGAATTTTTTTTACAAACTTTTTGCAATTTAGTATCATGCGGTTTCTTATCGTCGTTAAAAAGTGATAAGGTAGTACCAGTTACAACACACTAGTCAAGTCGCGGGTTTCAGGACCACAGGGTTAAGAGTCTAGCTATCTTTTCGAAAACCACGTTTGACAATTTGGTGCAATTTTTTATTCTGTGCGAGATGGAGTATTTGAAAACGAGTGAGGTTGTGCAAATCCAGCCTATATTCTCCTATTCAGAAAAGGGTTTTATCTTCATTGCGTTAAATAACCTCTACTAAGTTTCACTTTCGCTTTAGTTTCTTACGTTTTTGCCAAAATTTGTCGTAGATGGTTTTATTATTGATGACTTTGTTTTTAAGCGTTTATAAGCACGTGGTTACAATTTTTACATGCTACATCTGACATCGCTTAAATTTTGCTACTTTCTCTCAATAATTTTTAGTCTTTTAAGTGAATACTTCTTCGTGGTTTCTCAAATTCACTTGAACATACATATTCGCTAACCTCTCGCTCAAAAATAAGACTAGAAGCTAAAGAAATCACCAGTAATAAATATAATAATAAGTCATAAGCTAAGTCATAACTGCAACATAATCACGTACATACTGGCACACTATTCATATCCTACCTTGGAAATTTTTTCGCTCATTCGAGAACGAAAGATACAGGATAAAAGCTTGTGTATTGATGTAGGTAATC